ATTAGTCCTTATACTTTTAGCATATTTTGATATAGGTTTATATTTTTTTTTGTTGCTACATTACTTTCTTTGTTTTTGAATGTGTATAAAAGAATGACGAAATGACACTAACAATACTAAATATGTTGACATGTGACTAATGCTATTCATTTGTGTTGAGTAGAATTATGATTTGGCTGATTTAACATCTTTTGTTCCACCTCATCATTCTTTTAGACATCTTAAAAAATAGAAGGATTAATGTTGTACACACAATAAATTAGAAAGATATGAAACAATGAAAAAAATATAAGGACCTATATCAAAATACAATAAAACTATAAGGACCAATAGTTGTGTTTTCTCATAAAAATTAGCTATGCCCATCTTTCTAAAACAAATTACAAATTAAATTGAAATGTACTTAGAAAATTTTCCAAAATTAAGGTAGAGTCCTGTACATTCAAAAAGAAAAGAAGTAAGAAATAATATTATTGATGCCCTTGCTTTTTTTTTGGTGTGTGTAAAAAATGGAAGTATAAATTATCCAGAGCCCAGACTTGGTAGGATGCAATTTCTATTGAGCTTGTAGCCCATTATACAAGGTCTAATCTAGAATATGGGGCTGCATAGGCTTGGGTTGGTATGTCTTTTTTACCCATTATTGACATACACATTTGTGTCTTCAAAAAAAAAAAAGATAGATCCAAATTATAATATGCTTACTCAAAATATTGAATGATGTTCCATTTTTATCTTTATAATTTTAATAGATTTTTTTTGGGGGCTAAATTTTAATAGTTTTCTTGTAATTTGAGCATGCAATGATGTAGTTCCCTTTAATGATTATTATAATTGATATCGGCACTTTTTTATTCCTTTTAAAATTAAAAATTGATTTATTCATTTAATTTTTTCTAAACAATAATGTCTAGTTATTACAAAATTCATATTTTTCAAAAAAATTATTTTTTTCCAAAAAAATATTTTATAAAAATATATTTATGATGGATTTAATTACATGTCTCTCAATTAGAAATTACTTTTTTGGGTTCTTTATTCCTTTTTTGGGTTCTTTATTCCTTTTTTTTTGAATTAGTTTATGTAGTTATTTATACGAGACCAAACTTAACTTGGGTGTTTATGGGTTGGGCGGTTTACTAGAATTAATCCTATTTTATACGACCTTTCTAATTACATACAAGAGTCCAAAGGTATTTATTTAGGGTTAAGGTACAATTTTATCCTTGTATTTATTTTTTAATAGCACTAGGGACCCTATACTTTCAAGTAGGGCAATTTTTCCCCTGAAGTATTTTTCTAAGGTCTAAAAAGCTCCTTTGTTAAGAGCCCATGAAATCCACCATTATATCATGATGTGGCAACTCGTGGGGCCTAGGGAAAATTTGAGATGGCCCTTTAATATGTCTAAACTTCATTCCTTTGACTGTATATGTGGCTTCCTACTTTAACATCAAGGCAATCTTAACTTGATTCATTATCTTCATCATTTTCCTTACCGTCCAGTTGCAGCGCAGCCATTTTAGGTGTTAAGAATGGCTGAGACTTCGTCTTCTTTAATGAGAAGCAGTAGAAGGAGGATTGCTTTGCTCCGGCAATGTGGTGGGGAGTGAGACTACAAGGGTCCACCCAAGTGCTGTCATTGTGGCTTGTTGGCTATGCAATGGACCTCATAGAGTGACGACAACCTAAGGAGAAGGTTTTATAATTGCTCAATGTATCACCAGGTAAATTAAAGCTTGTAATTTGTTCATTGTATCACCACCCAAGGCTAAATTGCAAGGAGGTGATTGTGGGTACTTCTTATAGCATGATCAAAGATTAAGGTTGAGGGAAAAGGAAATCATACAAGATTTGTTGGATTACATTGATAGATTGTATGATCAGAATGTTATTGTGAGAGGAAGATATGAGAGAGAAGTCATATGTGAAGAGCTCAATGTCATTCATGCAGAGGTGAAGGGGTTGAAGAAGAAACAAGGGAAACTTGATAGTAAAGTAGAGCTTGAAAAGAAGAAATATACAATGGCAATGATAGCTCTTTGTGTTTCTTGGCTTTTTTTCTTTGTTTGCATAATTACATGACAATCATGTGTAACTTTTGTGAAGGAATGAGGAATAATGTACAATTGTTGTTATTTGTAAGTTAGTGTTAATGACTGTGGTTAACATTAATATGCCATTTACTTTGGATTTCATTCTTAAGTTGTCCCTGTTCCTCATTCCAAAAAAACATATTTCATCAACATGAAAACCAACGTACTAGTAATTTGATACATGATGGTAGTATTCTCCTGTGGAACTGAAACATGGTGATATATAGAAGCATTTTGAAGGAAAAGGATGCAGACTCTATGTAAAACAATCACCATTTAATAGTACAAGCATAAATTCCATAAAAAAACCATCTTGTAAGAATAAGGATCCATTAAAAGACAAGCCAAAATAAGGAAAAGGAAAATATCTGGCAAGTGCAATAAAAGACAAGAAATAAGATTGAAACATATGTCTATGTAATTCAATAACAAGATTCAAGCTCAAGCTTGGTAAAAAGGTCCTTAGCCAAGGGTTGGAAGCTATTGAACCCTAATTTTTATGATTACAAAATAGAGAAGATTTTGTTCTTGTAGAGATACTAATGTGTGTTAATGGCAATTAAGAGTATTAGTCTATATGCTTAAATCTTTGACTTCCTATTCCTTTGTGTCAATTTACCCAAAGCTTAAATTTATTATTGAGATAAGTATTTGATTTATCTCAAATCCTTTCTTGATTCTATCTTGTTTTATGAAAAGGTTTTAGTTTGAATCAAATTATGCTATTAACGTTTATATTTTGAATTAAGAGTTTTAGAGATATTTAGTTTTGACCATTAATCAATATTTTTTCTATATTTCTTAATATATAAATTCTCTTGATATGAAACTTCCTTTACTTGAAAATAGACTTGAACATATTTTCAAAAAACTAAATTTTGTTCAAAATGGATTTTTTATGAAATAGATATGATTTTTCAAAGTTGGCTATTGAAGCTTCTAGTTTGTCAAAAAAACGCTATTGACCTTTGCTCACCTTTTTAATCATATCTCTTAAAATATTTTGAATTTTTGAGTGGGTCTTGTTTTGTTGGAAACTAAACATTCAGGGATTTCCAACATAAGTCATTTGCCTAATTCAGAGTTAAAATGAGATAATTATAACTGTTACAAGTTGACACATATTTTATTCTGTAACTGTATCTATTATTCCAGTATAGGCAGTCTTATTCTGGTATAAACCATATAATTTTTCCTTATTCCGGTACAAAAGCCCCTTAGAAACCTTCATTTTTAAGTTTATCCTTTTCTTATACTAGTATAGAACTCTCTTATACTGGTACAAACGATCTCTTACCATATAATCTCACATATTCTGATATAAACATCATTTTTTATGCTCTATTCTTCGTGTTTGATTATGAACTCTTCGAGACTCATTCAATATTAATTCCTTTCACTTTTTATGAGTTATGTTAACCTTATAACTTTTCTAAAATCTTTTTGAACTCTTAATGATGATTTTTACAAAAGAGCCTTTGCCAAACTTTCTAATTGAACATGTGGCAGGAGTACAATGACTAAACCTAAACCACCTGCTTAAAAAATCTAATGGCTTGGCATTCTAAAGCCATGGAGTTGTTAAGATGTCAAGATGTCTTTACTTAAAAAGAAATCATACACTAAAGTGGTCCCTGTCATAGGTATTGAAATAAAGGCATATACTAGTGATATGATAACTTAAAAAGAAATTACATTAACCAATATAATTAAGTGGTCCCTGCACCTTGACAATGATCCTACCACATTTATTATAGTCAAGTAGATATAAAATAACTTGTCCACTGTCATATTGAAAATTAGCCAACAAAGTGACAAAACATTAAATGGCATCCTTAGATTTGCTCCTTGTTTGCATGCGAATCCTTCTTTGTCGTTCTCTTTCAAGTTGTGTGGTAGTCACACTACGATGACCCATCCATGTGAGACTTGGTGGTGTTACAGGTAAATTAGAAGGTTGTGATGCACCCTATCCCTTTGTCCTCATCTCAATCTTCCTAGAATAAGAAGGTGCTGTTGAAGTTTGTGCTTGATTTCTTCGAACTCCTTGAGTAATATCATCTATTACTCTCCCTTCCAGTCTAAAATGCCCTAACCCTCTTCGTTCTTTTCTTCATTTTTAGTTTCTTTTCTATGCATAGGGTGCTTTTCTTCTTTTTTCTAGATGTGTTGGATGCCAACTTAGATTTTCCTTACGCCCACGAGTTGCCACATCATGATATAATAGTGGATTTCACGGGCTCTTAATAGAGAGACTTTTTTGGACCTTAGAAAAATACTTCAAAAGAAAAATTGCCCCACTTAAAAGTATAGAAAGTCTAGTGTTCATAAAAAATAAGTATAGAAGCAAAATTGGGCCTTAATTCATGTATTTATATATGCTCTTTCCCTCATGTTGTTTTTACTAATAATTTTTATAAAAATATATATTTTTTTTATCTTTAGTTCCTGTGATAAGTAAAAGAAGAATAAAGTTAACAAATACAAAATTATAATGACATTTTTTTAAATATTAAGGACATGTTTGAAACTATTTTTTAGTTTATTATTATGAGAACTAGTGTTTTATAAAATATATTTTGAGAATACAAAATTAATAAAAGTGAATGTTTTTTTATTCTCCCTTATTTTTTAGAATAATAATCTTAGAACACTTAAAAAATATTTTTATTTTTTTATTCTTCAAAAAATATTTTATTTTTTATTTTCCAAAATATTTTTTAAAAATATATTATCAAATAAATTGTTTTATTGTTTTTTTTTTGAAAGAACAGAAAACTGTTGTTAAAGTAGATTGCCAAACAAGCCTTGAGTTATTTATCTTTTTGGCAAAGATTAGGATAAAATGTGTATATTTTGCTTCGAGTGCATGATATGCAGACACACGGATACTGAACATGTAATTACGAATATCTTTTCATGGTCAGAAAAAATTACAAAGATCTTTTAAAAATATTTAGCCAGAAAATACTGAAACCTTTCTTTAATTTCTCCTGCGGGCTGAAAGTGACGATAGAATCAGGGCAGGAAAACGCAGTAATTGTGAAGAAAAACAAAATTTTCCGTTTTCTCTGTGAAAGCGGTGGCGGAAACCTTGGCCCGAAAGTATGAAGCTCAAGCAGTTGGAAAGTCTCCTTGGCGATCTTCAGCAGTTCTCTCAACCTAAGGTTTTCTCTCTGATACGACCTTTGATGGTCTCTGTGTCTCTTCTTTATTACTGTGGATCACTCTTCTTTTTTGGTCGCAGATTGAACTCGAACAGTATCCAACTGGACCCCATATTGCTTCTCGAATGCTTTACACTGTATTGCTCTCTTGCTTTCGTCACTTTATCCAGCTTCTGCTAAATATTGTTGCTTTTTGCTTCAAACTTTACCTTTAAATGTTCTATTTTCCTTCTGCTAGAGATGGAAACAGCTATGGCTCTAAGATTACATTTCTGTTATCTGCTTGCAATGCAATTATTAATTTTATTGGCAAGTGGTCACTCTATTAGGGAAAGATGGGGAGGCTTTTGTAGTGATTCCAATAGCTAACAGTTAGTTGACAAAATTTTTAGTCATTGTAATTTCGCATTCTTAAAGTCCTGTTTCTGTCTTGATCACGTAAATTAGGCTGAGAACTCTTTTGGAGATGTGAGCAACAAAGTAGTGGCTGATTTTGGATGTGGCTGTGGTACGTTAGGTGTTGCAGCTGCTATACTGAGTGCCGAGTAAGTTACCTTCTTTCCCTTCTTTTTCTTTTGTACAATCTGTTTACCTGCATTCCATTCTGTCTGTTAGTTATATTTGAGCTGATACTAAGATGATATTTACGTATGCTGTAGTTTCAAACTACTATGACTTGTCTGGACTTTTCATTTTCATGGTCCAAGATTATGCAGGACCTATGTGAAATTGGGAGCACTGAATTAGTATTTTTTTTTAATTGCCTGATCATTAATGCATATCACACGGCAGCTTGCTTGCTTAGGGCTTCTCCATTCTAAGTCAAAACTTCAATTCCAATTTTAAGTAACAAAGCAAATGTTTGGTCTGAATTAAGTACAGTTGTATGTATATATATGTAGCAATCGTGTGTGTGTGTGTGTGTGTGTGTGTGTGTGTGTGTATCTTATATTCTCTTAATTTGTCTTAGCATTGGTCAGACATGTTGTCGGCATTGACATTGATCCAGAATCTCTTGAAATAGCTTCATTAAATGCTGAGGAGCTTGAGGTATTTTATTCCTACTGCTTTTATATGTATTCAGATAACTAAACCAACTCTCTTGTTGCATTAAAATCAAAATAATATTTTTATATGTTTCTAATACTGTTCATGTAGTGAAGTTTCCTGATAGAAAAGGTTCAGTTTAATTTTCGTACATTATTATAACATTGAAAGAGATAAAAAGTGATGATTAGTACGCTCTAAATTCAATAGTTAAATTATCATGTTAGAGGCAGCCTGCTTGTAGTTGACGCATCTTTCTGTTGTTATTCATTTAAACTTGCAGTTGTGCATGGACTTTATCCAGTCTAATGTCATGGACTTGGAATGGAGAGGTAGCTTTCCTCATTGTCTTTGTCCTACTTCAGTGCCCTTCTCTGTCTTTGCTTATACAAAATTTGTATATACTCTCCGAGTTTTCTTCTATAATATATTCATTTAACTGTGTTGGTATTTTCTATTTTTCTCTAGGTCAAATTGTTGATACAGTTGTGATGAATCCTCCATTTGGAACTAGGAAGAAAGGTGTAGACATGAATTTTCTCCAGGTTGCTTTGAAGGTAAGCAAGTATGCTGATTGTAGAACTCTAACTTGACATATGATTAACAAAATTTCTTATATACACGGATTTTTCAGGTTTCTTCTCAAGCTGTTTATTCCTTGCATAAGACTACAACAAGAGATGTAAGTCCTCTGTATCTTACATCTAGTTATATGATTAAGCAATGAAGTTCTCACAAGCCTGATCCGGCTGTCCTTAATATAACTCATGCACACTTGTACCACAAATGTTGTGACTTCAATTTGCACTAGACACTTCAAATTTTCTTAAAATCATGGTATTCATGTGGATGTCTGAGATTCTTGTTTATTTACTTATCATCCCATGCATAAATTTATGTGTTTGTTTATGCCACTTTTGAAATATCTTACAATGCTTGAGGAGTTCAGTTCTATTTAAATGATTATTTGAATTAAGATCTTTTCATGGTAGGTGACACTTCCCTACGACACCTTTTCTAAACTTTCTTATAGGTTCCGGAAATATGTATCTAGCAGTAGTTTAATAATAAAATTCTTAATTGGGATAAAGATGTGGATAGACATTCAGAGAAGTTATATTTGATCCCCTACCCCTGTTTTGATGGCCATGAGGTCATTGGTCTCTCTCTTTTTTTTAAATTTTTTTTTCTCAGTTTAGCTCATCAAGCAGATTTTTTTCCCATAGTTTATTAAAAATTGTTGATAACATTCGTGATTTATATATTTATTTTTCATAATGGGACCAAGATCCAAACCAATGATCTTTTTCCTTGATTAATCTCCCTTTGTTCATTTGTTCTGGCAATCTTTAGTATATTCTGAGACTCCAATAATGTATTTTAGAATTTTATTTCTTATGAAGAAATTCTCTAGGAATCTGTGAACTGACATGAGACCATAAAATGAAAGAAATAATTAATGAAAATTCTGCCTGCCCAGCTTATGTGCTAGTAATAACACGTGATGAGCTTTTGCCTTTGACATTACCCCATGCCTTGTTTCTGCTCTTTTTTTTTTTTGCTTTGTCCATGAGGTGCTCTTTTTTTATCTTATTGTAGCATGTCAAACGAGTAGCCATGAAGGATTTCAATGCTGCAAGTGCTGAAGTTTTATGCGAGGTGAGTGAAGCATTTCATTTGTTTATTTTGGTCTTCTAGAATCCTTATGTGAAGCCAACTTTTGCTCACTAAATTAATCTCTCCTTAATTAAATATGAAAGTCCTTTGTTTCGTCTTTTGAAATTAAGTTGTGCTCTTTAATGCTTTAGTTATTAGTTATAACTGATAAATCCTGAGCCAACTAAACTAACTTTAGTTATTGAACTTGCAGTGAAAATACTAGTTCTATCTTACTTTGTAGCTTCTGGCAAAGCGGGAGTAAATCTGTAATTTTACATGTACTATCCCACATTCCAATGTTTCAAATGTGGATATGGATATTGTCTCTTACTCCATCCGATCCAAAATATAAGCAACTTTTAACAATAATTTGCATACTAATAAAATTCTTGTTCTTATGAAAATATATATTGTTATTTCTTTGTACCTTTATTTCAAATTTATAATGAGTGAGAAGAAGGTCAAAAATTTATTGACACAAAAATCCAAGTTAATAAATATAGGGGGTAAAATGGGAATTTTTTTTGGGACAAATATTAAGTTGCTTATATCTTGGACCAAAATTAGCAATATTTTGGACTAGAGGATGTAACAATTAACACAATGTGGTGAATCCATACCAGCCTACTCGAACATAACCTGATTGCTTCCTTGAAACCTGGATTCTTTCATTTGACTGATCTACTATATAAAGTTTCTTTTGTTCAAGGTTTTGGATGCAACCATGACTTAATTGCGGACTGGTTATTGGTTTTGAAATTTTACATTGTTTTCTTCGTTCAATAGCTTCGATACGATGTTCCAAAACTGTACAAATTTCACAAGAAGAAGGAAGTGGATATTGCCGTGGACCTCTGGCGTTTTGTACCAGCAAGTCACCAAAGCAGGGTCATATAATAATACCCTTTGTTTCCAAATTTGTGGGAGTGGTTGTTGCAAGGTTAATTCTATCCTTCACTGTCATTAGATTCATAATCTTGCACAATATACAAGCGGCTTTGTCCAAAGTTAGGCTACTCTTGCAGGTGTGCTTGTTTGTGAGTCCAAGTCTCCAAGCAAGTGCAGCATGCAAAACCTGTCTGGTATGTAGCTTTCTTAGAGTTGGCTTGAGGGGTTATGTGTGAATGTGAAACTGGTTGATGCTATTTGACAGTGACGGGTATTTTTCTGAACCATTTGAAGCGATTGCCGATCATATTCATATATGGCATATTGAAACGTAGTGCCTGTTTGGTTCAATTCCCTTGTAATCCTGATGCATTTTGCTTACTCCTAATGTTTGGTTGGACTTAGTAATGTGAAGGGGATTACATTATGTAATCCAGATTCCCTTAAAATGGTGCATCTTGATTACATAGCTAGACCTAATGAATGGGGATTACATGATGAGTAATACCCTTAAAAGAAAAATCAAGAAATCTGATAGGAAATATGGGAGACATTATTCTAGAAAAAAATAAATTCTCTTTATGTTATTTTAATATCATGTAAGAAGGAAAATGTAAAGCCTAACTTTATATGGACAAGGTGTTATGGTTTTCTTTTGTGTTCTTTTGTAAGAGGAAATATGAAAGTTAGCTTTGTATGTAGATTTGATTAAGGCTTCCTTATTTAGGCATTAGAGTTTTGTTAAATAGACTTGATTGCACTTGTCATGGACACACTTGATGAATGAAATATTGTGATTGCATATTCGAAAGCTCTCCCCCTCTCTCTGCGTTCTGTTCTCCTTTCCCTTGCTCCCCCATTGTTCTGTTCTTCATTTCTCCCTCCCTATTTCTAGTTTCTCTCTACTTTCTCCCTCTATTCAGATCTGTGTGAGTGTATGTGAGTGTGTTACATTAGTTTGGTATCAGAGCTTGTGTTCCTATGTTCCTTGGCCATTTTTGTCACCTGAAAATCACAGAAAACTCGCTTGAGAAACTCACAAACCCTGTTTCATGCTGCCTACCCAAAAACGCCCACTTCCTGATGTCAGATTGCTAAAACACCACCGCCATCGTGTTCAAGAGGAGGAATCTGGTCAGAACCAGAAATTTCACCTCCGTCCTCTGACACACGCTCCTCCACGTGCCAATGGAGTGATCTGCGCGCGGCCATCACGCGACCACACACCGGTGACAATCCTGTGCATGACTTCACGAGCCGACGTGCACAGTGTCCAGAATTTGGATTATTTTTTTTTTTGCGTTTTGCGTGCTTTCAAGGAGATTTTTATAGTTTTGAGCAAGCTTGAGGATCCCAAATCATCTTTCAAAGCATTATTTGGGTAAAAGATCAACTTTTAGGCTTTTAAATCTTCATTGGTAAGGCTATTGACCTCTCATTTATTTTACTTATATGGTTTTTAGGAGGAGGTAGTTCTTCCTTTCATGCTTGGTTTGATGTCTTCTTTTTTTTAATCTTTGAGCATGCAATTTAATTCTTAAAGTGTGTTTAGTTTAATATTCTTAAAAAAAATTGATCATTATTATTGTTAATTTGTACCTCTTGACAGCATTATTCCTAACCTAGAACACACTTACCTCACACAATTCAGCCCTATACCCGGGTCAAGAAATTAGCCTAAGTTAGTTGAAGTTTAACGGTTTCCTTGTAAGGTTATAGACCTTCGAAGGTTATTGTGAAACTTTACTCAGGTTGTTATCTCTTTAACATGCAATTCTTGAGATTTTGAATTTCCAGAGGATTAGTTTTGTTAGAAAGGGACTTCACCTTGTTGGGTGAGGGCAACTTGGGAACTTTTTCCTTAAGGTTTCTAGAACCACCCTAAACCCTACACTTTAAAATATTGCCCTTGTCATTGTATGACCATTTGTGATTTATATGATAAGCAAGCCTTATTAGATCAATAAATTACTGCTCTTAAATCCGCCATGGCCAATAACTTCCAAATCACCCAAAATCACCTTGAGAAATCTGAGAGGGCTTAAAGGGTATATGTGGACCAATGATTAGATGAACTCAAGGAAGTCATGAATAGGAAATTTGAAGAGATCATGGGTGCTATTCAATTGCAATACAAACAAGATACAGGAAAGGTAACTGAAGGGCTGTTAGAGAGACTAATATTCAGAGGAGAATCCAGTTTTAGGAATGAGAGATCCCCTATCTTTAATCAACCTAGGGGAACTCCCTCTAGGATTGGTCATTCTTCTAGAAACATGGGTGGAAGACATGGTAGACCCTCTCCTCATGAACTTATCAATCATCAATCGGAAGATTTAGATGATACTTGGAATGGTCGTGACCACGAAGAACAACATCATGGATCACTTCAACCAATCCAACGGAACGGTAGAGAAAATTTTAGAAGGGTGCATACTGATGACATCGCCAAAAAGGTTAAGGTTGAGGCCCTTGAATTTGATGGAAGATTGAATGCTAGTGCTTTCTTAGATTGGTTAGCCAATGAGTGAATGGTATGACATGAGCGATACCCAACGAGTTCAATTTGCAAAGATGAAGCTTGTGGGTTCTGCAATAAAATATTGGCAAAATGTTCAGAAGAACAATGAGCGACAGGGATATCCTCCAATTGAGGTGTGGGATGAAATGAAGGCAAAGTTGAAAGAGAAATATGTGCCGATTCATCACAAGAGTCAGTTATACAACAAGTAACTCAACCTGAAGCAAGTTTCCACTGCTTCTAAGTATATATCTCGTTTTGACGACCTTATGATTAGAAGTGACGTGGATGAAGAATGGTGCACGATTACTAGGTTTGTTAATAGACTCAAGCCATATATACAAAAGGAGCTCAAGCTGAACTTCCTTGAGTCTTTTGAGGAAGCGTACCATAAGACCTTGGAAGTAGAGTCTCTGTTGCAGTACACTTTTGTTAGGTGTACCAACTAGTAAGGCAATCAATTTTGACAGGAGTGAAGTTCAAACTTGATGAAGCGACCTTCTAGAGCACCTACATCTAGGCCTGCCCAAAATGGGTTCAAGATTAATACCTCTAAGCCTATTGAGGCTTCCTGCCCTAGTAACTCTCTTGTTGAGTGTTTCCATTGTCACTCAAAGGGTCACATTGCTTCAAAGTGCCCACAACGAGCTTTAATTATTGACTCACCTTTTGAGGAAGAGGAGAATGCTATCAATGTCGACATAGTTGTGGAACCAGTTGAGTGTCCTTCAGATGTTGACGAGGACATCATCATTGATGAACATGGGTGTAAGACACATTGAGTTGGAGTTATGCGATGCATTTTGTCGGTCCCTCTACCTAGTGATTCATAGAAGCGAACTAGTATCTTCCATACCTTTGGGAAGTGTGGAGGCAAATCTTGCAAGTTAGTGATTGATAGTGGGAGCTCTAGAAATGTAATTTCTAGTCAAGGAGTAGTTCGGCTTGGTCTCAAGATAGAACCTCATCCAGAACCTTTTCGAGTTGTGTGGGTTGACAAAACTTCTTTACCAGTCACTCAACAATGTCGCATTCCTTTGCAACTAGGTGACTATAAAGAAGAGGTTCTTTGTGATGTTTTCTTGATGGATGTTGGTCACATTTTGCTAGGTTGACCGTGGCTTTATGATCACAATGTCATCAACCATGGTCAGGAGAATACATATGCATTTAAGCATAATGGCAAGACAATCTTGCTACGCCCTGTTAAGCTTGACACTGATGTTAGACATCCGAGTAATTCAAAAGGTATGAAGCCCAAAAGCCAAAGTTTTCACCTTTTAACAGAGAAACAGTTTGTGCGGGAAAGCAAAGACAGTACCCTTGTGTTTGTTCTGGTGTCTAAGATCTCGCAATGAATTGCTTTGGTCACAACTATGAAAATGCCTAGGTAAGTGCAACAGCTCTTAAATTTCAAGACATCACCCTGGATGAGCTTCCATCTGAGCTACTGCCAATGAGGGATATCCAACATGCAATTGATTTTACTTCAGGTTCACAACTTCCTAACCTACCACACTACTGGATGAATCCAAAAGATAGGGAAGAGCTTAACCGATAAGTTAATGGATTATTGAAGAAAGGTTATATCCAACATAGCATGAGTCCTTGTGCAGCACGTGCTCTTTTGATTCCCAAGAAAGACGGCTCTTGGAAAATGTGTGTAGATAGTAGAGCCATCAACAAGATTACCATCAAGTATAAGTTTCCTATTCCTAGACTTGATGACATGCTTGATTTGGTATCCAAATCTAGTTGGTTCTCGAAGATTGACCTTCGGAGTGGTTATCATCAGATCAGGATTAGACTTGAAGATGAGTGGAAGACTGCCTTTAGAAAACAAGATGGGTTGTTTAAATGGCTTGTCATGCCATTTGGGTTATCAAATGCCCCAAGTACATTCATGAGAGTAATGGCTCACCTCCTTCGCTCATACTTGGGAAAATTCTTAGTGGTATACCTTGATGACATGCTAGTCTTTAGCAAGTCTAAATAGGAACACTTGGAATATCTTGAGTTAATTTTTCTCACCCTGCATCAAGAACAGTTTTATGTTAACTTGCCCAAGTGCTCATTTCTTCAAAATCAAGTCATCTTCCTAGGTTTTATTGTTTCTGAAAGGGGTTTAGTAGCGGATCCCGAGAAAGTCTGAGCTATTCAAGAATGGCCTGAGCCACAATCTCTCCATGAAGTATGAAGTTTCCATGGCCTTGCTTCTTTCTATAGACTCTTCATTAGAAACTTTAGTACTATTATGGCTCCTATCACTGATTACTTGAAGCAAGATAAGTTCTAGTGGACTTCTACTGCATCCTTAGCTTTTTAGGATATTAAGACGAAGCTTTTTGAAGCTCCAGTCTTATCTTTACCAAATTTTATGAAGTGTTTCGAAGTTGCTTGTGATGCATCTGGGACAAGAATCGAAGGTGTTCTAAGCCAAGAAGGTCACCTTATGGCTTTCATTAGCGAAAAGCTCAACAATGCAAAACAAAAATACTCCATCTATGACAAGGAGTTTTATGCGAGTGTGAAATCTCTTGAGCATTGGAAATACTAGTCCCTTTCTCAACAATTTGTTCTTTACTCTAATCATCAAGTGCTTAGGTTTATCAATTCTCAGGGGCACTTAAATGCTAAACATGCTAAATGGGTTGAGTATATTCAAGGATTCACTTTTATGGTCAAGCATCGTTCAGGAATAGAAAACAAAGTGGCTGATGCTCTTAGCCGACGGATCAACTTGTTGCACACTATGAGCATTAGTGTTGTTGGTTTTGAAAACCTGAAGGAAGATTATGCTTCATGTCCAGATTTTGGGATAATTTACCATGAAGTTAACAGTGATAACCGTCATGATCTTATTGATTTCCTCCTTAAAGATAGTCATCTCTTTCACGAAAGCACACTGTGCATCCCACGAACTTCTACGTGAGATTTTCTTGTTTGGGAATTACATGCTGGAGGTTTAGCTAGTCATTTTCGGATCAATAAAACTATAGCATTAGTTGAAGACAGGTTCTATTAGCCTTCGCTCAAGCATGATATGGCTTGCATAGTGTCTCAATGTCGAAATTGTCAAACTTTTAAAGCTAGAAGACAGGATACCGGTTGGTACACTCCTTTGCCAATCCCCGAGGCACCTTGGAAAGACTTGACTATGGACTTTGTCTTGGGATTGCCTCGAACAGCTAAAGGTCACGATTTTGTGTTGGTGGTTGTAGACAGACTCTCCAAGATGGCCCATTTTATTCCCTGTAGCAAGACCACAGATGATTCCCATCTTGCAAAATTGTTCTTTAAGGAGATTGTGCGTCTGCATGGTTTACCTATTACCATTGTATCCAATAAGGACGTTAAGTTTGTTAGCTACTTTTGAAAAACTCTATAGAAACTTTTTAGTACCAGTTGAAGTTTTCTTTTGCTTTTCACCCCTAGATAGATGGGCAAATCGAAGTTACTAATTGAAGTTTGGGTAATTTTGTTAGAAGTTTAGTTGGAGACAAGCTAAAGCATTAGGGTTTGGTTCTACCCACTATTGAGTTTGCATATAATAATTCGGTGAATAGGTCCACAGGCATGAGTCCCTTTCAGATTGTTCAAGGTTTTAATCCTAAATAGCCTATTGATCTTATGCCAATCCTATTGACATTTCATACTTTCGAATCTGTAGAATCCTTTGTCCATCGGCTTCATGAATTACATGTTGAAATTAGGTGAAAATTAGCAACAAGTAATGATCAATATAAATTATCTGCTAATACTCATCGTCGATTTTGAAGCTTCAATATAGGTGGCTATATTATGGCTCGAATTCATCCAGAATGTCATCCTAAATATGCTTTTAAAAAGTTGCATGCTCAACCTTTTGGACCTTTTCACATAGCAAAGAAGTTAGGATCTAATGCTTATCTTTTAGAATTACCTCCTGATATGGCCATAAGTCCGGTTTTTAATGTAGAGGATCTTTTGCCTTATGGGGAAACTATTGAGCCTTCCCCATTGCTTTTTGATGATCCTGCAGGTACTCGGCCCTCGCAAGTGCCAATCCTACCGTTGCCATCTATCTCACCATCAATGGAAGAGCTCGAAACCATTATGGATGACCAAATTGTCCTAACTTCTGAGGGGCCCTTCCATCGTTACTTGGTTTGTTGGAAGGGTTGTTCAAATGAAAATGCCACTTGGATCTCAGAAGCTGATTTTAGACAACTTGATTCTGCCTTGTTGGAAGCCTATCAACTTTTTATCTCTCCAGAGGAGAGTTCTTTGCAGCAGGGGGGAATTGATAGGAAATATAGGGGAGATTATTCTAGAAAAAAAATAAATTCTCTTTATGTTATATTAAAATTTTGGAAGATGGAAAATATAAAGCCTAACTTTATATGGACAAGGTGTTAAGGTTTCCTTTTGTGTTCTTTTGTAAGAGGAAATTTGAAAGTTAGCTTTATATGTAGATGTGATTAAGGCTTCCTTATTTAGGCATTAAAGTTTTGTTAATAGACTTGATTGCACTTGTAATGGACATATTTGATGAATGAAATATTGTGATTGCATATTCAGAAGCTCTCCCCCTCTCTCTGCGTTCTGTCTCCCTCTCCCTTGCTCCCTCATTGTTCTGTTCTTCATTTCTCCCTCCCTATTTCTAGTTTCTCTCTACTCTTTCCCTCTATTCAGATCTCTGTGAGTGTATGTGAGTGTGTGTTACATCACAATCCTTCTGCCTTCTCCATTTCTAGCCTTCTTCTGTGGCAACATCATCAGTCTTTAGCTTCTCCACCAACGTCAGCCTTCACATCGGCACCACCAGTGATACCTTCGCCGTCAGCCATCATGCTCCTGTCTTCTAGAATGAAGATCTGGATGTCATTGCATCTCAGAGATCTATAAGCATTTCTTTTTCTTCACCATGTCAGAACCGACACGATCCCTGTCTTGTGCTCTTATCACCATTGCTTTGGTCCTTCTTGTTGTGCTGTCTCACTTTTCCTTTAGATCTCTTGCTTTCTGGACATCATTGCTCATTCATGGTCTTCGTGGTTGAGAGTGAAAGAGACGAGAGGGAGAAGTTGAGAAGAGGAGGGAGGAAGTTTTTAAGGGCATTTTTTGTCTTTTTATTTTTATTTAATTAAGTTTAAAACTTAAATTCAATTATATTGCAATGTCTAACCAAGCAAACTCATGGTAATCCTGATTATGTTACATTCCATTAGATTCCTTGTGATTATTCCTCGAACCAAATGGGCTATTGGAAATGAGATGAGGAGGATTCTTGAGGAAAAATAATGAACAACATAATGTAGGAGAATTGTTTTGCTGTTTGAGAACTCTGTTCTGCCTGAATTATTTTGTCCTTGAGATTAATGGGGTGTTGCAATTTTTCAAAGGAAATCACACACAGCAGTAAAATAGGATTGTGTCATCAGTGCAAGATAGATGTGAAATGGCCTTTGAATGGAACAGTAGTGTGACCATTGGTTACTGCCTTGATGAAACTCCAAACCTATGACATTACATTACTTGTGTGACTTGAATGGAACAGTAGTGTGACCATTGGTTACTGCCTTGATGAAACTCCAAACCTGTGACATCACATTACTTTCTCGATGTTGAATCATGAAAAAAGAAAAATAGTTTTTATGATATTTATCATTTGGGTCTTATGCATTGTAATTAGTCCAAAAGTAAGTTGTACTGCTCAGAAAATTACAACTCAAATGTATTTTATAAGTTAAAGTACACTTTTAGTCTTTTAGCTTTATATAAGGTTTCAATTTGACCTTTTAATTTTGTAAAGTATCTTTTTAGACCTTTAACGTTAACATTGTGAGATTCAAATGGTTTTTTTTTTTTTTTTGCGTCAATTATTGTGATTTTGAAAAAATTAAACTCAAAATGTCAAGATTTGAAAATGTTTTGTTAATATTTGAATATTTAATGTAAAAATTTATTGGGATAAAATTAATAGTGTTAGGGTTAAAGAAATAAAAAGACACTTTATAAAGTTAAAGAATTAAATAAAATGTTTAAAATTAAAAGATTAAATGTATATTTTAATTTACTTTATATCTAAACATTTGAATTTCAGGGTTATTGAGTCCTTAACCATCTCAATTGATCCAATTGCAGTTTTTATTACCAATTCTTCGACAATAACTTTAATTATATGCGGAAAAGCCAATGTAGAATTTTCTACTCGAATGATTTCACCTTATGTGAAGATATGGGAGATGATTCTCTCCTCTTCCTTTTCTTTCTCTTAATTTCTAACTATTAAATTAAAATTTTGAATGATTTAAATTTCATCTCCTTCAAAACATTTTATTTTATTTTATTTCTACTGTATTTTTAAATTGTTTTTATTAAATTTTAGGAGTTTGAATTTTATTATTTATATTTTTTATAATTTAATATTGTAATAATAATTTTATAGGATATTAAATCTAAATCATTTAAATCTTAATCGAATGACTAAAAAGAGAAAATAATGGAAGAGGAAGGGAAGGAAGAGGAGAGAATCCATGCTCTGAAGATATTTCTTTCATCTCCCCACGAACTGTAGTTGATGACTTAATTTTGGAGGATGGAACGAGCATATGCAAACAAGGAAGGCAAGATACCCATTCTAAATGGGCACCACCTAACAGGGACAGAACTAGCGTTACAAGTGAGAGAGGGGGCCAATTTTTTTTCACAAAAATAAATGTATATTTATTTTTAAAAATAATTTTATTAGTTAAAATATATTATTATATGATAATCATTAGAAGTATAATTATATAAGTATTTCAAGAAAATTGAAAAAAATACAAGATACCATATAGTTATATATATATATATATATATATATTAAAATATATTCCCTTCAATCCTATTTATAAGTTACCACTAACATTTTCATCGGAACCAATAAAAATCTTAAACCTTAATTCTATCTAAAAATTTAAAAAGTTTTCAACTTTATATTTATTAAATATACATATTTTAAAACTAAAATATTGTAGCATTTAAGAACATTCCCAACATTTAATATAAGCAAAAGGGAAAAATAATTTAAAGTGTCTTATAAATAAGACTAAAACGAGTATTTTCTCTTTGCCATATAGATATGACCAAACAAATACAAGTAAAAGAAATGTATGCATATTGTATTATGGGAGAATTTCATTTAAGGACCTAGGTAGCAACATATTTTCATGTGGGTTCCAAAAAATTTCAAAATATCATTTCAGTCTTAAGGGACTAAATTAAAAATAAGTTGAAAGTAGAAAAAATTAAAATACCTTCAGTTTAAATATTAAAAAAAATTTACTAGCCATAGTCACTAGAGCTTTACTGGCGACGGCAGCCACTAGACCTCTGTAGTTGGAGACTATCGGCAGTTGTTGGAGAATTAATTTCTCCAAAGGTGATTAGGGTAGGTGTAGAATTCAAAATTTCTTGGTTCACCAAAAAGTTTTTGACCACTAAGCCACTCAATCATATAATGCATAAAATTATATATATATATATATATAATAAACCTTGTTTTCAAACCACTTGATTATTATGTTATTTGTTAATCACATAATTTTACTTGTTAATACCTTAACAGGACTTGTTAATTACTTAACTTTTCTTATTAACCCCATGACTCCTATAACAGAACTAAATCACTTGTTAATCACATAACTATATTTGTTAATAATATAATAGGACTTATCAATTACTTAACTCTTCTTGTTAAGTCTATAGAGCTACATTACTTGTCAATCGTGTAACTGTAGTCGTTAATATCTTAACATGACTTGTTAATTACTTAAATTTACATGTTAAATCCATGATTCTTTCAACTGAACTGCATTACTTGTTAATTACACAAAAATACTTGTTAATTAGGCAACTTTACTTGTTAATTCCTTAACTCCCTCAAAATTATTTTTATAATAAATCTTATTTTCAAACCTCTTGAATATTATGACAAGAAGTATACTTGTTAAATGCCTAATATAGCTTGTCATTTCTTCAATTTTAATTATTAATATTATATTTTTTTAGGGTATTGCTCTCTCTCTCTCTCTCTCTATATATATATATATGCTTATATAATTGAGTATCTAGTTTAATGAATACTGATAAGGGAGACTCGATTGTCATCGCTTTCGTTATCTAACAAACTCAATTTTTTACATAAATTATATATTCATTTAAAAAGTGATAATAGATAATTAACAAATATTGTTAAAGAATTAACAAGTAAAGTTATACAATTAATAAATAATTTAGTTGCTTTTTCAAACAATAGTTAAACAAGTCTTGTTATTGTCTTAATAAGTCAAGCTACGTAATTAACAAACATTATTGCATAATTAACAAGTAAAGTTACATGATTAATAAATAATGTAGTTTAGTTGAAGGAGTCATGGATTTGACAAGTACATTCAAATAATTAATAAGTCTTGTTAAGGTATTAACAACTACAGTTACACGATTAACTAGTAATGTACCTCTATTGTGGGAGTCATAGACTTAACAAGGAGAGTTAAGTAATTGACAAGTCTTATTAAAGTATTGACAAGTATAGTTATTACTCAATTAACAAGTAATTTAGTTTTGTTATAGGAGCCATGGGGTTAATAAGAAAAGTTAAGTAATTAACAAGTTCTGTTAAGTTATTAACAAATAAAGTTACACGATTAACAAGTAATATAATAATCATGTGGTTTGGAGACAAAATTTATTATATATATAATTTTATATATTATATAATTGAATGGGTTGAGTGGCTTAGTGGTTTGAAATTTTTTGGTGAACTAAAGGGTTTTGAGTTCTACACCCACCTTAATCACCTTTGAAGAAATTAATTCTTCATAATTCTCTAGCCATTGCCAACGGTGGTCTAGCTGGCGGTCGGAGATCTAGTAATGAAGGTCTAGTGGCTGTCATCATCAGCGAAGTTTCAGTCATCAGTGGTGGTGCTTTGGCGACAGTAGCTAGTGTTTTGTTTAAAATATTTGAATTGAGGGTATTTTAATTTTTTCTACATTCAACTATTTTCAATTTAATCTTTGAGGACTACACTGAGGTTTTAGAATCTTTTAAAAGTCACCAAAAAATAAGTTTCTTCTCAAATACTTAAATGAAATTTTCTTAAAAGAATTAATATAAATATATATATTTATAGTGCTTGAGGGGGTGAGGTGGGGGGACCAATGACCAACGTAGATCCCCTGCCACCTAACACTAGTTGGCTTAGATTGGATATTAACAAATCTATTGATTGCAATAGAGCAGTAGCTTGCAGAGGAATTATACGTGATAATGAGGTAATTGGCTTAAAGGCTCACTAGATACCTTAGATTTCACCTAACGACCACCGCTGCAATCTTGGGTATCCAAGAAGACTTCTCTATGTACGACTTGTTGGAAGCAATCTCGCTCATTTGAAACAAGCATTTTGATAATCATCCCCTAATTAGACACATCAAAACTATCTAAGAGCTTATTGTGTATAATTAGACTATCATAATTGATCATATCTTTAAAAAAACAAACACTTACATCGATTGGTTAGCACACCATGCTAATCAAGGTAGGTTTGCTATCGCCGTTTATGATAGTTCACTTCCTTAAATATAGATTGTAGGAGTGTTCAATTTGTACCCGTCCCGATTGACTTGATATTATCCTGATCATATCGAGATGAATCTCATTCCAACCCAAAAACAATCGAGATGGGACTTTGTTGGATATGATAGGAAAGGAGTTCGGGATGGGATGGGGCACAAGATTACCATCAGGATGTCCATCCCGTCCCGAATATTATATATATTATTTTTTATTTTAAAAATATACATTAAATATATTAATTATATTAATATAAGTTATAATTATATTAATTATATCAATTATAATTTCAATAGTTGTAATTCTTATATAAAACTAAAGTTTTTTATATTGATAATTTTAATGATAGAGAGTAAGTGATATCTTTCTTTATAATATATTAATTATATTAATACAATTTATCAACTTTAATTTATGTCATATTTCTTGTTTTGTTTTTGAAAAAGTAATTAACTTAGCACATTTCAACTAAAGTAGAAGAATAATGATTTGATATTATGCTTGGCTTGTCTGTTGTTGCTACTTTTATAGCCTAGAGATCACTTATAATTGCTATCATAATGTGTAATTTTGGTTAATGTAATTCAGTAATTGACTTTAAATTATTGTGTTCTATATACTCGTGTTATTTTGATTTTAAATTTAATAAATTATATTATTTAAAATTTTAATGAATGTTATTATCCATATCTTTCTCCAATATTGTTCGATTTATAGGGATAGCGAGATATCTCAATCTTATCTCGGTCTCATTTTGATTCATAACGAGACAGGATGACTTTTCAAATAAAACAAAACACAAGACAAATTTAATTTTAACTTTTTTTTTGGGACGAGACACGAGACAAGGGTGTCCCGATCTTGTCCATGAACACTCCTAATGGATTATAGAGACTTGTTACCAGTTGACCAAACTTAACTTTTTATTTTATTTTGTTTTATTCATGCACAATCGCATCATGGCCTAAGGATTCCAAAAAATAATAATAATCATATACTATCTTTTATAGATAATTATATAATTTTCTAATCAAAATATACTCATAATGTTATTAGAAAATCATATCTATTAAAGAGAAAACAAGAATTCCAGGAATCATGTATTTTGGGATTTCTTTCTTGCGATCATATTCTTTTCTCTGGGTTCAATAATTTGTTTCAAATTCACTCGAAAATGAAACAATTAATTAAAAAAATTGATGTAAGATATAATAAACATAAATCTGTCAATTTCTCAAAACACAGTCCATTATCATAAAGTAATTTTATAATATATCATCAAAATAATCTCGATATTTTGTTTTGACTGATTATAACTAACAAGGACATTGGCAATTATCAAAATATATAATCAAAACACCGTTAGTGCCGAAAGGATTGCAAGAATAATTTTGTAAATAGAGTAAAGCTGGAGACAAACTTTGATACTCGACAAAATTTGGTGGTTCAAGCTATCAATCTCCATAGATAAATAAAAACAACAACGCAAATCTCAACAAAATTTAGCTATCAGTTTGGAAAAATTTCAAATTTCCTGAAGCAAACAAGCAGAAAGCTTAAGACATTCTCTGTGCCGCTTCCTTAGCAAGAAGCCTTTCCTTGGCCTTGGTCCTGGCTTGAGATTTAGAACCCATGATCCCACCACCCCACTTCTTTCTGTATTCGTCATACTTGTCATTGAAGTTGGCCTGTGCAAAAGGAATACAAAAATTAATAAATGACTATTAATTCTCTGATAAGAGAAATGGAAGCCCAAAAAATATGCCAGATAAAAAGAAAGAAAACAAAAATAACCCATAAATTACCTTGATTGCCTCTAGAATCTTAGAGAATTCTAATTTGTCTTCGTTCTTGACTGTTGTCAAGCACAGAACTGATGCAGTTTTCTTATGTACAATCTATCCACGGAAGATCAAGAATAGTTGAATTAGATCCAGTCGAAAAATCTGACCAATCAATTGAGGATTTGCCGACTATTTTCTCAGAGAGAGACAAATATTACCGTTCCCAAGCGTGCCTTGCCCTTGACAATGCAGTAGGGAATTTCCATCTTCCTGCACAATGCAGGCAGCCACACAACCAGTTCAATTGGATCTACATCATGTGCAATCACAACCAGCTGCGCCTTATTCTGCCACAAAAATATAACATGTTAGTCAAATGTCAGGGGATGAAAGGACATTCTCATGGATCGACAGAAAGGACTGGACCTGCTCAATAAGGTAAGTGACGTGATTGAGACCGTATTTCACAACAATAGGCTTCTTAGCTTCAACAGATTTTCCTTCTGCCTCTGCCTGAGCCCTCTTCAAGAGTCGCTCTTTCTTTTCGGCTTTATCCTCAGGCCTGTACTTAAGGAGCATCTTGAACAGGCTAGTTGCTGTAAATGACATCAACAGAAGGTAATCAGCGCAGCCTTCTAGCACAAGAGTTGGTTGCTATATCAACATGAACAAATTTTTGAAACCTCAATACCAAAAAATCAAACATAATCAAGATAAATAAAGAACTAAAATAACTAATAATTAAGCAGATATTCAGTAATTCAAGAATATTCCAGAACAGGCACAATGCAATTATTGAATGAACATCATCAAACGATGAGTCTTCACAACCCAAAATGCAAGACCAATGGTGCATGTAATCGCCCAAAACATTAATCAAGTAGCTGCAAATTAGCTTCCCGTTAGACACACTGGCTGTAATCTACAGACATCAAATGCGCTGGTCCACATCAATCATTCAATTCTCTTTTTTGTTTAATTTGGATGAAATTAAGTTAAATATCTAAGTGAGAAAAGTAGAGCAACCACTTTGTCAAATAAACCTATTAAAATCGTACTCCTGAGAACAATATATATATATATATATCGAAATAAAATACTGACATAAGTTTCCCAAGGCATAACAGAAGCAGAGAAAAACCAGAGAATTAAGTAAAACATTAAGACATACCAAGATTCTTGTCGAGTGTTTTCGTGAACTGGTTCAAAGCTGGAGGGACCTTCAACCTTTGCTTGAGAATCCTCTTTTTCCTCTGGATTTGAACAGTCTTAGGCCACTTGACGAGTCGCGTCAGGTCTCTCTTAGGAGGCAATGCACCACCGATGCCAAACTGCTTCGGACGCTTCTCAAATAGCGGGTTCACCACCTTGTCCTAAAATCGAACAAATTAATACAGGAAAATGGAAGCCAAATCATATTACGATTTAAAAATCACCAACAAATGAAACCGAAGTTATGTTAGTCGAATACAATACATACCTGCTTCTTCTTTGCAGCCACAACCGGAGCTTTCCCACCTCTTTTTGGAGCCTATTAAACGGACAAAAAAAGTGGCGAATTTATCAGCAAGTTTAATTGACATGCGCTCTTTCAAGTCATAACTCAAGATCAGAGACAAATTACCAAGCATCGTAATATGTAGATATAGGAACAACTCATTCAAACGAATTCAGCTAAACGAACACAATGAAAGCAGGCACTCACCATTGCCGCTGATCTGCCGGACGCACTCCCCAGCTGCTGGCGACTTCTATTTTTTGATGAATGGAATCGGAAACCCTAAACCTAGCTTAGAAATTAGAATTTCGGATGTTAACTTCGGAAACGGATGGGCCGGGTTCAATTCTTGCTCCCTGCCAAAAAAATTAAAAATAAAAATTTGAGATAATGTAATTTTAATGTCTCAAATTTATTTTATTCTTTTTATTTAAAAATATAAAATATTTTTAATTAAATCTAACTTTTAATAAAGTAGTCACCTATTTTTAAACTAATCTTTTTTTTATATTATATTTACTATTATTAAATATTCTAAAATAAATATAAAATCATTATCAATAGAGACACTTAAAAAAAGGTAATGATTATATTTCAAAAAATTAAAAATATTTTATATTTTTGAATATCTACATCCTCAAAAAATACCTTATATTTTTTAACGGAGGGAGTAGTTATTAATTTAATTTTTTATATTTTTTAAGTTATTACATTAGTACTTTAAATTTTAAAACACAGATTAATTTTTATTAATTTAGTTTATAAGGTGTGTTAATGCTTTAGCATGTATCTGTAGTTAAATTAAAATAAACTAACATTTAAATAAGTTTAATTTTTGTTAATATAATCTTTTACGTTATGTCTTGTTATTTTTTTTTAATTTTCACGTTCCCTATTTTTATATAAATAATTACAATTTTTTCATTAATTTATATTAATGTCATCGATATATTAGCAAATTTTATTGGTATTGTCTTTTTCTAAGCAATAATAAGAATCAAATTTATAATGGAGATGAATCTAACGAACTAAATTGATAAAAAGTTAAATTAGAAGATCCAAATCAATAACTGATACAATTTGTTTTTTTTTAACCATCAAGGGAGAGAATGTTCAAGAATTAAAAGTTTTAATTAATGCCAAAATTCAATTTATTTTTAGTTGTTATTATAGGATTAGCAATCTTCCAGTCCAATTCAAATACTTCATTCCGTTGATCATTCTCCTAATAATTAAGTGACTAGTATATCTTCATAAAAACAGATAACCCTAATATTTGGGTATTCTACTAATATTAATTATTATCAATATTTAATTCAAATTTCTAGGTTTGAAAATTTGATTGATTAATATTTTTTTGGACAGCGATTCAGATTTTTTAATTTATGCTTATATATGAAGAGAGAAATCTGAATAATATATCTATAGAGACAGAGAGAGATAATAATAACAGTAATAAAAAAAACTTAATGGTATAATTCGAAATAATCAGCAATGTTGTCAGATTAGAATTTTCTACTTTGCTTTTATAATATTTACTCAAAATATTTAGAATTTGAAAATCCATTAGAAAATAACTTCCTATATTGTTTATTTAAGATATTTAATCATCAATCTATATTTATTAGTGTGTATATATATATATATATATATTTGGATTGATTAGGTAATTGATATGATATTCAAAATGTAATTTATTTAGAGTCGGATCTAAACATTGAATCTGATTTAATTAGGATACATTTTAATTTGGAAAAATAAAGTCGGATTGTTGCAATTTAGTTACGCAATCAAAATTTAATGAAAAAAATATATTTATAATCTATTTCCAAAATATGTAAAGGACTTTTGCATACATAGCTCATATCATAAGATTAAGTAAAAAAATAGCCTACTCTTTCATAACTTTTAAAAATAATCTTTTTAATATCTAGTTTATAATTAATTTATAAAATTATTCTTTTTAATATTCACTTTTTTGTAAAAACCAAGAGATTTTTTTTAAACGAATGTAAATACCATGATATTCAAAACACAAGAAATCTTTGAAATAAAAGAGACAAATGTGAGAGAGAATATAAAACTCGATGCGAGAGAGATAAACGCGAGACAGCAAAATTGTGTGAGCGAGCCACAATCACGATAGTAAGAGACAAATGTGAGGTAAGATACATTGACAGTATTCGATGGAATGGAACATATTGGCGGGGGAATGGAGCTATAAATTTTGCATGAAGCTACACAACTGTGAAGCGATAGGCGAGGATTTTTTATTAGTTTAAGTATTTAATTCTCTATGATAAGCTAAAAGTCCAGAATTTTTTACAAATTGTGTTTAATTCATTTTGGGTAAATGATTGTGTTTTTTTTATGTTACTAATTTACAATATTACATCATTGATATACGACTGCATATCAATAATAAACAAATTTATGTCTGATTATCTGGTTATATTGATCTGTGATAGCATATCAATGATATATTATTATATATCATTGATATATAAGCCATATCGTTTATTTGCTTTCTTCCATTTTTGAGTTTGATCTACTATCCACATGATTGTTATATAAGCTCAAAAAGAGACAAATTCTTCCTATATGTAAATTATGAACCATTCAGATAACGGTTGTTTGAATATCATTTTCCATCATAAGAAATGATACGGTTAAACATTTTTATATCTACAAGATTAAATGATGTTTGTAAGTTGTCATTAATATGGTTTATCAGTGATATATAATAATATATCAATGATATACTATCGTAAATCAAAAACGAGAAGCGAAGTCAACTTTAACCAGATAATAAACATTGATTTTCAATAATGTGAAATTCTAAAAAATTTTTCTAAAACATTATTGTTATCTAAAAAAAATTATATATGTTGTCTTAAATTGTTAGTGCATATAATATGAAATTCTGAATCATTGACAAGTTGTGCAGGATATTTTTTTTTTCAATATTTTGGATACATCGCGTCAAAAATTTTACATATTTGCTTAGAGAAGTTTTTGTTGGATAAATAAGGAATATCACATTGTAAATAATTTTGAAAACGGCCATGCTCCAAATTTTTATAAATTCTGTCCAGAATTTATGAGGCCTATATACTTTATGGCGATTGTGCTATTGTAATTCATAACGTTTTATAAAAATATAAAATTGACATTATATGCATAATTTTTTTTCCTTGTTTCCCTCCTTTAAGTCAATCTTGTTTCCCGCATAAATTTATTTTTATTTTCAGCTATTTTTTATTCTCTCATTTTTTTTTTGCCAGTATTTCTCTCACTCAAAAACACTCACCCATATACGAGTACTAATTAATTAGCAATGCTTTAAATGAATTTTTAAAATTTTAAATTAAAAGTTTCTAGAATATCTCAAAATTATAATTTAAGTTTTAAATATTAAATTTCATAGAATTACACTCAGTATTAATTAAATATTTTAATTATCAAATAAACATTTTTATATTTTTAATATATACTTTAAATTGAAATAAAATATAATATTAATGAAGAATTTTTGAAAGAATTTAATATTTGATAAGGACCTTATATAGATTGAATACTTATTAAAGCAATAATTTTATTTGTTACTTTGTTGATGTTTACTTGTTAGATTTTCTTTTTTTTTTAATATTAGATTTCTTCTGGGATCCTTTATTGATATTCTTCCTTGAATTAATAACATAACCTTAAGCATAACACTTCTTAGCATTAATGTGACCATTAATTAATAGCTGATATGAAATTCCTATCTAATATATCACCAGGGAGAAATCAATTTTCGAAACCCTCACTTTTGTATATTTAGGTTAAGGAAAAAGAAAAAAAAACGGATTTTTTTATTCCTCCTATCATTTTATGACTTATCATTATTTATATATATATATATATATATGAATTATGAACAAAAAAAATCTTTATAATAATAGTATTTATCATGGATTGATTCATTTGGGTCTCATATATTGTATAGAGCCTAAAATTAAAAGTAAGCTGTACTATTTATAAAACTTTAAAGTTTTTTGAATGATATAAGTTAAAAATATTTTTAAATATATAACTATTAAAAAGCATTATTTTGACATGTTTAAATAACAAACATACATATATATATGTGTGTGTATATATAATATAAAAAATGAATGACTTGAACAGTTCGATATAAAAAACGAAGAAACAAACAAATCAAACAATCATTTGGAAAAAGTCCATGTGAGCTTAATTAGAAATTTGATATTCAGTTACACACCGTGACTTATGATCTTGATTTCAGTTCAATATTTACTCAAGGGTTATTTGTTAAGTAACATGGTACCTAAGAGTGGTGAATGGGATGTCTTCAAATTTTCATAGGAAGAGAGTTTTTATGAAAACAAAATTTATAAGATGAGCTTGTAAATCAAATGAAGTTTAGAGACGAGAAAGCTTGACACATAGATTTATACTGATTTAATCCAACCACTTATGTCTAGTTCTTAATATCACACATGAGTTTTTTTTTTCCCCATAAAATTATAAGTTTAATTAGGTGCTTGCAATCTCAATATAATGACTAAGACTTGTTAGTTTTGGACTCATTCAAAATCCCCTCACAAAACCTTTGTAAGAAGTAAACACTTGAGGACAATTTCAGAAAGTAGAGTGAATAATCAAAACTTAAAACTCTCCAAAACAGTAAATAAGAATAGAGTGAAGGCTTATAAACTAGCAAATAGAGAGATTTTTTTTGAAAACTCTTAATGCAGAAGGTAAAACAATGAATACAATCAATTAATATGTTACTCACTCATTTAAACATGATTTTATTTATAGTGTGAGGATGATTATAGTTGTTGAACCATGTGTTTTGATGATAACAAAAAAGAAATAGAAGTGTTTGTTACTTGTGCAAATTTTAGGAACAAATGAAGTGGCAAAACCTTCTAGAGCATGAAGATCAAGAAAATACTTAGAATAATAGGTTTATTTATTCTCTTCTCTCAAATTCAATATGAAAATTATGAGAGCTTAATAACATATCTTTATGGTAAGAATATATTATGTTAGAACCAATATTAGGCTTACGAGTCCTTTGAACTTAAGTGTCAAACCCTTAGAATGCATCTGAATCTATTGTGCCAATCCACGCTTGATCTGGAATGATCCCCCCATAATTTGGCTATCCTAAGTGCATGATAGGACTTAATGGATCCAATTCAAGCTTGAACTAGAACGAATCTTGCTTAAATTAGACCATGGAAGTTAGACACTATACTGTGGGCAATTTCACTCTTGAATCATGGTGATCCACTCGTGTT